CAGCGGCTGCAGGAAGTGATCAAGGTATTGCGCGCCACCTGATGGGATTTTAACATTGTTTTTTACCAAGAATTGTTTTTTTTTTTGCCGGGGTTTCTTAGAGGGTTTGCCCCAACAGCCCAGCACGTTCGCGAGGGTGTTAACCATCAAAAATGGGGATGTGTGTTAACCATTGAGAAAAATGGCTTCAACCATTGAAATTTGGAGATGGTGGGATTTACTTGGGACACAATTTGCACCGCAGGGATTTAATCATCAAAAATGGTGGGGTAATGGGATAGCACCCAATTAATCATGATATGTGGGTGTGTCTGAAATGGCGACTTAATCCCCCACCATTTGAAGAATTTGAAGGGGGAATATTATGATAAACAATACAGTGGGTTTTGGGGCCTTTTTTTGCAGACACACCCAGTTATTTTTCTGTGGTTTGTTGAGTCAAGCAGATCCGCCTTCGAGTCCTGTATATAAATAAGTATATACTGTCTAAATGGCATAACTATACCGAAAAATGACTAGAGAAATTATTTTGATTTGGCCATCTGCAACAATCGTTGGTCGGAACTACCACGAATTTCGCTGGGCTTCAATATAAGATAATAACTCCTGATCACATCTGATTCTTCTGAACACTTGCAGGGGGGCCGTGATTGCAGATGATGCCAGATTGCTGTACATTTGTTTTGACCACCTCGACGGCAGCCAGGCCGCAAGCATGATTGCAGTGCAGAATGGAACTGGGGATTTCAAATGACCGTTGGCCCATTTAAATTCAGTTCAGCCGATCTAATTCCGATGAAATCTTCAATCCGTTTATCTAGTTGCACCTCGTTCTCGTTGCACAGAATTGTCAAGCTCAGGCTTTCCTGCTTCGGAGGCAAACATGGATGATGGTATGTGAATCACTGAATGCGAAACTTCATCACCGAAAGCATTGGTCTTCAAATCAAAGGTCTTGAGTCTTGAGTTCCAAGGCACTAAAACAAAGGCTCATTTTACATCTTTTACGAATTATTCTTCAGGAGCCCTGATGCTTTGAGGCATCAACTGAAGTATGGCATTTGGAACACCATCACAACAAGGCTATGTCCAAGTGACTTGCCAGTTGTCACGATAGACGCATGAATACTTTCCATTGATCACATGTGAGGAGGCCTTGAAAATGATAGGCCTTGAAAATTCAATGGAAAAATCATACCATTCCATTGAATCCACCAATCTTTGGAAAGGAAGGAGTGTAAAATACTGGGCCACTGCCATTTCAGGTACCCAAATTGGAGGTACCTATATTATATACTATATAAGGCCTATGCAAGGGCTAGCTTTCAGGGGATACATACGCCCCAAGTTATCTTGCTAAAAACATGGTACAGTAAGTGGTACAGTACCTCCATTTTGGGGTCCTGGAGTTCCCACCTGCCACAGGGATGCTGAAGCAATCGCAGCAGCAGCAGCAGTGCTTCTGGTCTTGTCCGTAGGTGGTAGGTCGCAACCTGCAGCAATGGTTCATGCCCGGTAGGAAAGGTCATCTTCATTTTCTCTTTGTTTGGGTGTGTCTGAGAATAGTGTTTGGCATATGAATAGGGTTTTTTTTGTGATAAACCGTGATAAAACATGATAAACCCATGACAAACCAGTGGATATCAAGGGTTCATTACCATTCATTACCCTATTTTCAAACAAACCCGGATCGAATCACCACAGAACTTGAGCCGTGGCACCTGACATTGCTGAAAGCACCTGCACTGCAGAGTCCCAGCGATTGGCCTTTGCCTCCAGAGGTCATGTGATTTCTCGCCAATCGCAAAAAATCATCCCCAATGACTCATCATGGGTTCTACATATTTGAACTGGTGGTTTCTTATTATAATTTTTGGGTTTGAATGGTTCTACCATGTTTTACCATGTTTTACCATATCATTTTATACCCATGTTTTATGATTTTTTATGGTTCTACCATGGGCTCATCCCAAAGCCGCCCAGCGACGCAGCACCGAACCAGGGAGTTGAAGGTCACGACGTCGAGGCGGAGATTTCCCGTACGATGAAACAGGAGCTGCCAAGCAGTTTGCCATTTGGAGTCCTATGGGACTGGGGGGTACAGGAAAAATGTATAAAAATGTGGGATCAACACATATTATCATATTCAACAAATTCCATAATACAAATTCCATATATTTCCATAATCAAGCATGAGAACTCCAAAATGTGCACCGAAAAGTGCGCTCCTTACCACAGGCAGCAACAACTGCGCTGATGTGGAAGACATTGACCTCCGCCTGCGCCGCACAATCAGCGACCATGAACTTCAAAACACGATTTTTAATGTGATCCACTGCATTCTGATATTCCAATGTCTAAGTGGACATGCATCTGTACATATACCCGTACATGTGTCACATCTATTGCATGCATATATATATATATACGCGTGTGTACATAGATGTTGTGGGTGTGTATGTGTGTTTGTGCATCATTGAATACATTATCCACGCCATACCATGTCTCGTATTAAATCATATAAAATCCATTTTCCTACTAGTAAACGTATTTCCTTGCTCAACAAACCACTGGTATACCACGGTCGTCCACCATCCACTGCCTGTAGCTTCCACATCTCATCCAATGCCAGCAGTGCTCCAGTGGCATCCAGGTTGCGCAGAACGCTGGTGGCACAGGCCGGCTGAATCCAAGCCTTCTGTCCGGCCATGGCCTGCCAAGGGCCATGTGACAGGATGAAGGTGGGTGCTGCTATGTGCTGATGTATATATCATGTCCAAATTTTGGGGAAGGATGGGGAAGGATGGGGAAGGATGGGGAAGGGCCGAAGAATGCAAGAGGACGGAATAACAATTAAAAAATAACATGCAGTAGTATCACAAATCACAAATAAATGCAATAGAAAACCAATAGAAAACTTAAGGGGCGCAAACGGCCCCTACTGGATCCCCAGCTCCAGATCGCAGCCCAACCTGAAAGGACTCGAAACACTGGCCTAGCAGGGTTGGACCGTTAGACCGTTGGACCGGTATGGATGGTGTGGCTGACCGATGTTCACATGACCCAAACATCCCCAGCCAACCTGGTCATTTGATGCTGTGGCTCCAGCCTGGAACAAGGAGACACTTCATTTCCCCTAAGTTTCTCATAGGAATTGTAGGGATCATTCATGAATATCATATTGTACATGTTTAGGACCATATAAATGCGCACACATACACACACACATAAATGGGTGTATACATATATATAATTATATATATATGCATTCATAACTTAACAGTTCCTACTATATGCACATATAATATGATATATATATATATCAATGAACTATACTTCTCATGGATGACGATCTGGTTTTGGACATTCCAACTTCAAGTAAAATCACACACCCTGGTGCCCGGTGGTGCCCAAACCTGCGGTCGCACCGGCAATGCCATCACTAGGAGACCAATGCTGCCATGATCAGCGCGGTATAACGGGGGCCCCTAAGGGGTGTAACCTTCATGTCGTTGTTTCTCGCTGTGTTGGCGTTACTGCATGCTGCCGTACATGAACCCCAAATGAGTTTCTTTTGAAACTTCGGGGCAAACTCGTGACTCAGAGGAAATGGGAAACAACATGAAACAACTAGTCAAACATGCTCACGCTTTCGGTGGGTCTGAGAGAACATGAAATCGGCTTGTGAGTGGCCGCTTGGTCCCAAACACTTGGCTCAAGTTTCTCAAGTTTCAAACCTGCCGGTTGGATCGCATCAGTGTCTATCTTCACCAATCTGATCCGTCTGTTCTGTTACTGTTCTGCTCATCCCTCAATGTCCGCCATAATCTTGACATGGAAAGGCCAGGCTGTGCACATTTTCGTCGCAGCAGTTCGACAATGATCTGCAGGCCTGTGGTGCCATGCCACAGATATGCCACAGCTTCAATTGATTTCAGGTCTCTGGCCCCACAAGCCTGGAAAGAACACGAGTTTCAAGCCGTTGTTCTCTCGGATTCGCACGGATAAACTTGGCCTATAGCGCCTCTAGGAGCTCATGGAAACTGATGGAAACTGTAGCTCCACATCGCCTTTTGCCGTGCTGAGATGTGCTGAGTCTTTCTACATCGCGCTGTTTGGCATCCTTCTTTCGTTCCTGCACCCTTTTGGGTTGGAACATGTTGGAACCATGGGGGATCACAATGTCCAAACTACCACGACGGAAACCAAACATTGATAACATTGGCTGTTGAATCTGCAATCAAATTATGTTGCAAATATTAGAGGATCGAGAAGATTACCTTGTGTTTATCCGATCACCGCCGCCTCCACCGTTGCCGTTGGCGTTGGACTTTCGATTGGACTTTCGGTTGGTTGCGTTGGCTCCCCTGCACCAAGACCTTTGGGTGCAGTTTGGGATTCGGGGTTCGCAGTGGGGTAGGCTGGGTAGCTTCAGACATGGATTGGCTTAACTGACTTGAAGTGAAGTGGAGCTGCGGCAAGCGAAGTGATACATGTTGAGTGATGCTGCGATTCGGAATGGTGGTGCGCCAAATCGAAGTGGTAATAACATGTGTCGGAAGTTGTTGCGCAGATGTATCGTGGCCCTAAACTTTCTGAAACATACAATCCAGAAGCATCTTGAACCATGCCAACCCAATCCCTACTTGGCGCAGCTGCGCCTGCGGCCAGTCTAGCATTGTTGTTGCGGGATGTTGCAAGATGTTGCGGGCATGAGACATCCCGTTCATGTGTTTGGCAAGTCATTGCCCCGGAGCGTGCTGCTCAGCTTTGAAGCCCTGACGATGGTTTTTCAGCTCGAAGATCTTGAAATATGTTCAACCTCCAGGAAAAAACATCAAGGCACAAATGGATCGTTGCAAGCAATTGGCATCAGCTCTTCAAAACAGCCAAGCCTTCAAGCCGAGATCTTAGAGTCTCGTAGAGTCTGGTGAGGGACTTCGGCGCCAACTCAATCCACAGCGCTGCCATCACGCTGCCATCCACCAAGAACTGCTGGTTCATGACCTCAAGGACAGTCTAGGGTCAAAGAATTAATAATGTGGGGCTGGCATTGAATCAGCTGCTCTGTCGTGATGGTCCTTGCATGCTGAAGAAAAAGAAATAGATAATATATTTGTAAATGAATATGTATATATAATGATATGATATACATATATATATATATATACGTATAATATGTATTATATGTATTCTAGTATATTATACACTAATTGATAATGCAAACGTGCGAGTAAATGCATAATCATATAAGTACAAATATGTGTATGTGCACTGTTGCTCCGGTACACGTCTGCAAGAGGATCAAAAGGGGTATATTGCAAAAATGTATGCATACTACATTACTTCATCTATACAAATCTATACAAATGTCATATACTTACCCATTACTGGCTGTTATCATCCGGTCCTTAACCCACCTCCCCAGTCTCGGCAAAGGACAGTCCATTGCCATAGCCTCTGGGCTGAGTCTCGTAAACCTGAAAGGCAGCACCACCACATGCACGATGCACATCCCGTTGTGACAGGGCAGCACGTCTTCCTGGTGGCGGTGATGCTCATAGATCTTGGATGAGGTCAACCAAAGTTTCGCGAATTATTGGTTTCCAGAACCACTTGAAGCTAAAACAATGTCCTGGTAGGTGCCCATGATGATATCCTGGAATCCTGAAACTTCCTGTTAAACCCTCAATCCAATCAGTTCAATATGTACGTAATGACATACACATATGAATCATATATAAATATATTCATACATATATCAAATTGCATATGTACATATATAATTACATATATACAAATTTATTTATATATGCATATATGAGTGTAAATATATATATATATATGTATATATATATATGTGTGTACACATATATATATATATATATACATATAATAAATGTTGTGAATATCATATTCAACCAACTATCATCTCAACCGTTGACTCCGGGCTCCTCGCAGCACCTTGCGCAAGACGTGAAAGCCCCGCAGGCCAACGTGGCGCTGCAGGTCCCGACGTTCACCGAAGGTCTGGAAGGACGAAACCTGGGATTTCTGTGGTGATTTTATGGTGGATGTGCGATTCATGCGGGATTTAACTGTAGGATTTATATGGGATCTAGTATTTAATGGTGATTTAAGTGTGATTTAATTTGATATATTTGATTTCATGGTGGTTCGGTTTAATGGTGATTTTTATAGGATTTC